CTGTCTCTCTCTCCCTCTTCCTTCTTCTCTGAAATCAATAAAAAAAAATTAAAAAAAATAAAAATAAAAAGGGCCAGAAGGTTGAGAACCACTGAACTAAAGGAAGCATCGTTAGGTGGTGCTTGCGGTACTCAGGTACAAACCCAGGCCTGTATCCGGGTCTTACACCTGGGATGTGTTACACTGCATCATTCCTAACGAGCAACCCAGGGCCCAGCCCGCCCTCGCCCGCCCTCGCCCGACTCACCTCAGCGAGGGGGTGTGCACGGACCAGCCAAAGTCCGCAATCTTCACCTCCCCCCGGAGCCCCAGCAGCAGGTTCTCCGGCTTAATGTCCCTGTGGATCACCTTGTTCTCGTGGCAGTAGGCCAGAGCGTGCGCCAGCTCCTCCATGATCTGTGTGGGCGGAGGAAAGGGCAGCCTTAGAAAGGAAGCCGGCCACAGCTTCCCTGAGGGGAAACACCCCGCCTGCGCTGTGCAGTCGACGTCTTTTATTCCCTGGTCACCAACGCCACGACCCCCTCGACAGGGCACCGTTATTGATGGTGGGGGAGGGTTTCCGCCCCCCCAGTCTATGTAGTCCAGCGGTTCTCAACCTGTGGGTCGAGACCCCTTTGGGGGTCGAAGGACCCTTTCACAGGGGTCGCCTAAGACCATTGGAAAACACATACATAATTACATATTGTTTTTGTGATGAATCACGATGCTTTAATTATGTTCAATTTGTAACAGTGAAAATACAGTGGGGCCTTGACTTACGAGTTTAATTCGTTCTGTGACGGAGCTCGTAACTCAGATTACTCGTATGCCAAATCATTAAAGTGAACGAGTGAGACATGTGATGCTGGGCTGATGTTGTGGCGTTCACTGTGACGTTCGCTGCGCCAACTAGCGGTGGAGTATCTGAAGCTGGCTCGTAACCCGAATTTTAGCTCGCAACTCAAAGCAAAAAATCGGCCGAGAGACGGCTTGTATCTCGAAAAACTCGTTAGTCAGGACACTTGTAAGTCAAGGCCCCACTGTACATCCTGCATATCAGATATTTACATTACGATTCATAACAGTAGCAAAATTACAGTTA